TTTTCTTCCAGAAAACCGAACAAGTAAACGATAATCTTCAAAGCAGACACCCTCCTGTTTGATTACTTATATGAAACTCGATTAATAATAATTTATATAAATCGTTAGCATGTTACGATCGTCTAACTTTTGCTGTAACTATCTCATTGAACTGTTAAGAGGATGCTGATCTTACGCACGGTTTCAAAATGTTTCCGGGGCTTGGCTTGACAGTTCTTATTTATACCTATCTGCCATATATGCGTGTACATGCGTACGTACATACTAGTATTACAAGTATTACTAGTATATTTCTTATAAGTTATACAAACCTCGTTATAGGCCAATCGATTCTTTGTGTTCCAAAATATATTGTTGCTTTAACGGGAAAATCGATTCCCTTTTAAATTTTGAGAGTTATTTGCAAATATATCGACATACATTTGTGACATACATTTGTGAACATTAATATTATTTATATATGTTACTTACACACTATCGTCCGCATACATACTCTCCATTCTTTATCTTTCATTCCTTTATATATACAATCTTTCATAAATTTTTTTTTTCTCTTACAAAAAAAAGCATATGATAGCAATTCGATAGCAAGAAAAAAAAAGAAAACATGGAGAGAAAGGATGGTTTATCGAGTGATGTACCACTGGTTGAATTTATAAATCCAAATGAAACAAACATAACTCAAAGCATTCCAAGTCAATCCCGAAGTCATAATTCAAGAAATATTTCTTCCTCAATATCACCCTCAATAACGTTAAATGATGATGATGATGACATTTTCTTTCATGATCACGGAGACCAGCAAGCGAATACTATGCCTTCATTTCTTAGTAGAAGGGTAACAACTGGATCGGATGATAATGTAGAGAATTATGTCGAAATGACAAATATTTCCAAACGTTTAAGCTTAACCAGTGAGTTTGCATTCGACAACATTGATGATAGTGATACGGCCAAACTAACCAAAAATCTGGTGGATTACTCGTCAGAAAAGAAACATAAGCAATTATCTTTTGGCAACGAGGATGAAGATAACTCTCACGACCCCAATCTACTCAATCGTATACCTTCATTCAACAAATTTAGAAGGTTAAGTAGGATGGTTACTAGAGCTTCTTCTCGTGTTGTTAACTTGGCAAATGTTCCACTTGATCAACTTTCAAAAGAAGGTGACCTGTCGGAAGAAAAGAACCTTTCTATTACTAAGGAAAGAAATTCCGTTTTATCAGAAAGAGATAGATCATTATAAAATCCTCCAAAAATTGTAAAAAATAAATCAATATTGGAAGGTCGATCCCTATATATATTTGGCCCGGATAATCCTGTGAGATTGTTCTTTTAGTAAGTTTTCAATTTATTCGTTATAAAAATAAAATAATTCTTTTTTTATCTTACTATACTTAAAAATATATTAGAGCGACCGAAACTTTTATACTATTTCTAATTGTGGCCAATATCATACTATTGGTTATTGATGCGTGGGACACAGTTGGCCCTGATAACCCACGAAGAACCACATGGGGAAGCTCTTTCGTTGACTATGGATTATTGGCCATATTCATTTTATACACGTATGTTGTAATTTTTTTATTTATTTAATTTTATTAATATATAATAATGATAATTTAAATTTAAATTCTAATATATTATTATAAAAAAGGTTAGAGATTATTGCTCGAATAGTCGTATCTGGTTTTATCATCAACCCTGATAATAATGATGAGTCGTTTGAGACGACTCCTCAGGCAAAAACAAAATCATCCTCAATTACATCAACGAATAATCAAAAAGGACAATTCATATCCGGTATTAAACGATATATTTTTAAAACTGCTTTCCTTCGACACAGTTTTAACAGAATAGATTTGGTAGCGGTTATATGTTATTGGATTGATTTAGTCATAACGAATTTTGGAGTATCACATGTTTATGTATTTAAAGCCTTATCTACTTTAAGGAGTCTTAGATTGTTAACTGTTACTAGTGGTGGCTCTACTATTCTACAATCTTTAAAAATAAGTGCTCCTTTGTTAGCTAATGTGATGATTTTTATTAGCTTCTTTTTTGTCATCATTAGTATAGTTGGTATTCAAGCTTTCAAGGGCTCATTTAGGAGACAATTAGAGTTGGCCCCGAAACCACGTGATGCTAATTTGTCACATGCTATTACTTATAAAAATCGACGATCTATTTTGATTTTTTATAAGTACTAGCATGTGACAAATTAGCATCACGTGGTTTCGGGGCCAACTCTAGAGACAATGTGTATGGGTAGATCCAAGTGGCAATTCCAATTATACACTTTCACAACAATGGTGCGGTGGATACATTGGACAAGATGGTAATCATTATCCATATATACCAACAGAGGTTAAACCATTACAAAAACCAATCCCTAAAGGTTGCCTTTGTCCTGTTGGACAAGTTTGTCAGGTATTGTACACATATTACACATATTTAAAACATCTTGATCAAATATTCAATTATATAATTATATTAATTCTTTAAAAAAAAGGAAACTGCGAATCCATACAATAATATGGTGTCTTATGATAATATTTTTTCTGCAATGGTCCTAACATTTGTGCTCGCTGCAAGTAGGTAATATTTCGATTTTGGTTTTAAAAATTATTGTTCATGATCATTTATTTATTTATACCTTTTTAATTTATATTAAAAAAATTTTATATAGCTCAAAATTGGACTGATCTTTTATACAGAACTATGGATACTGATTATGGATGGTCTACTTTATACTTTGTACTAGCCCTCTTTATTTTAAATTTCTGGCTGCTTAACTTGTTTGTGCCTTGATCGTTTCTGTATTTGAAAAAATTCGTGAAGAAACTTCTCATTCAGCGTTTACTACTTCCAAGTAATTATTATTATTAT